AGCAGCAGTCCTGGGCGTTACTCATCCTCTCCGCAGGCCGCCGGGAAAGCCTGTCGGCCCGGCGCATCTGCAACAGCGCCTCATTGTTCTTGTGTCATGAATGTTCTGCGGAAAAGCCACGCAGACCTGTTCCCAAGTCAGCAACCCCTTCTTGTATCAGCGCACGTTCACAGTACATAATGATCACCTACCCTTCCGTTGTGGGAAGTCGGTACATGTGCATAGCACATCTCGATTTTCTTTTCATCTCCTTCTCCACCCTTCCCTGGCTACCTCCTCCTGCATCTCTCGGTCACCTTCCCTTTTGCTAAAGTTTTATCTCCCTATTTCCTGTTGTCTGTCTTTTATGTGGCTCTTTAATTTATTTAAACTTTGGGTTTCTCCTATAAGAGAGAGCATGTGACATTTAGGTTTGTGTGTCTGATTTATTTCACTTAAATTTCTAGTCTCAAGATGCATCCATTTTCCTACAAATGAATCAAATTTATCTTCTTTATGGCAGAGTAGTACTCTGTTGTATAGCAATACTATCTTTTTCTTTCCTTTATTTTGCTCTCTTCTACTTTGATTTCCTCCTATAAGAGGAAACCACATAGTATCTAAGATTTCATGTGTGATTTACTTTACTTAACATTGTTTTTAAGGTGCCTCTATTTTTGTTCAAATGGTTGACATTCTTCCTTCTTTATAGCACAGTAATAGTCCATTGTATACAGACACTACATTTCTTTATCCATTTGTCTGCTGATGGACATATATGCTACTTCCAAGATTTGGCTTTTATGAATTACGCTGCTGTGAACATGAGTATGCATGTATGGACATAATATGATGTCTTTAACTCTTCTGAGAAGATACCTACAAGGGAAATGGAATTTCTATTTTTAGTTTTTTTTAGGAATTTCCATGCTGATTTCCATAGTCTACTCATGTACATTCCACCAATGTAGAAGCATTCCTTTTTTTCAGCAGGAGGGCCAGTATTTGTTATTATTTGGTTCCTTGGTGTTTGCCCTTCTCTCTGAAGCAAGATGAAATCTCAGTGTTGTTTTAATTTGGACAGCACCTCTTGCTCTTCCCTCTCTGGATTCTAACTCCCTTGGCCTCCAGAAAGACCCCCTTGTGATTTTTATCCCCCTCCCATGCTACCCTTTAATAGCTATTGAACCTGCCATCCCCTTTAGTCATCTTTAAAAAGTAAGTGTCCTACCATTTTTACCATTTGTAATCCTTCTATAATCTGGTACCTGCCATATTTCATATTTTAACATCTCTGAAACTGGGAATAAATTTTATGTACAATGGTTTTTTCTTATTTTCAAGTAGTATGCAGATTCATGGTGCATCTTTTAAAGGATGGCATCTGAAGTTCCGTGGACGTGGTATCACAATACACAGTTGAAAGATGCTAGGTTAGAACCACCTCAAGAGCAAGACACAAACTGCTTATTTCTCTTGTACCACTTCTTCTCACACTCAGCACTTAGTCTAGTAGTGTTCAATTTGTTCATGCGTTTCACTGGAAATGTCCACTGTCATAAGCAGTGTGCAAACCTTAACTCAAGAACTTTAAGGAAGAAACAGAACCATAAAACGAAGACAGTCGGCAATGTATTTCAAGTGATCTCCTCTACCACCAAAAATTGAACCAAGTTCCCATAATTATTTCCAAGTGTTTCATTTCTCAAAATATTTGAATCAAATCATGTCAGCAATTTGTTCAGGTAAATATATTCACAATAACTAAACGCACAGTATTGTGTCATTAATATTTTGTAGTTAAGAATTCTTCCTATTGTTCACAATGTATCATCTTGCAGCTTTAGAAAAAAATGAATTATTAGTTGGCATAGTAAAGCAATACCAAGAAAATATTTTGACCTGCCCTACCATATCTTATTAATTACTTGGATTAATGGAGAGATATCAGAAAGTGGAGTGGAAATAAAATCAACATTTGTCAAAAATCAGTGCTCAAGGGCTGGGGATTTAGCTCAGCAGCACAGCACCTGCCTGGCAAGCACAAGGTCATGAGTTCGATTCCCGGTACTGGAAAAAAAAAAACCAAAAAAAAGAATATAATAAAAAAAATCAGTGCTCAAAGTTGCCTAGAAGAAGGCAAGGAGTATAGAAATATTTAAGAAATGTCTAAATTTCTCCTTCATCATTATTTTATTTTCTAAATTAAATTAGCTGTCATCTTTCCCTGCCAAGATTTTCTTTGTCCAATAAGATTTTTCTGTACAAGCCCATGGCTGCAATTTATTAAAAATTTAAACTTGCCTTTATAAGCCTTACAGGAATCTGAATTGAGATAGCCAGAGATTGTTGGCCCACCAATCATTATTATTTCTTGAACTCTGGACATTTACGTTTGCAGCTGCAAGCTGATTTGCATTATGCACCCGTGACAGGAATAGATATGCCAGGAAGTTGTGCAATTCGAGGACAGATTGGCCCCTTTCTTGGGTAGGTTGTAGGTCCAGACCTACAGATTAGCCCAGCAGGGCCCTCCAAATCTTTTGCAATGAGCATTTTGAAATACATGGGTCATTTATTTCTGGCTTCCAGGCAGTTCAGCAAAAGTTTTCAGCTACACAATTGCAAAAGTTTATGAATTTTCACTGAGGAATGAAAAGTGACACAGTAGAGCAAACTGCAGGCATTTAATACCAGATGTTAATGTAAAAATTGGAAAATTGTGGCCCCACGTGGTTATCTGACCTCTGACGTAGAAAGTCCCTTCACAAACCTGTAAGTCATCATTCTTGTAGGCTCTTCTATTATTTAACTTTGTGCCTACTTTTTAAAATGCAAAATAATAATTCCAAATACCTAATAGATCATTAGCTCATACCAATCTGGAGGTATTTTGTTTACACACTAACAATGGTGCAATTTCTTACCATAAAACCCACAAGTACAATCTTTTTGATTTGGTGTGATTTCTAATGATTTTTTTAAAAGTTACCTCCCCTGTCTGCATGCCACACCTGTCTAATGTCACAATATGCTAAAGGAACGAAAGGGGAAAGTTTTACTTAGTGGCACTGAGAGAGAACACCCTGGAAAACAACATCTCAAAGCCTTTTGACATGAGGCTGCACTTCGTCCCTAAGCCTGCACACCTGAGAAGCCAAATGCATGGTTTTGAAGGAGGATGTCCTGCTTAGAAAGCCCCAGTCAGTGGGAGAGCTTAGTGTGGGAGGAGGCATGAGGTGGGAAGCTCTGCATTTGGTGAGTTCTAGCTTTTCTACTTTCTGAGGAATGTTGCCCAAACACTCAACCTCTCTACACCTGAGGTTTCTTTTCCCTAAGAATAAATTTCATCGGATGTCTTGATCACCTCACAGGGCTGTTGTAAGAACGAGTACAATTTGTGTAGGAGTGTTGTGTAAGGGCAAGTGTTCAGGAGCCAGGAAGAACACCACTCAAGGTTGGTTGTTTCAGCTTGAATCCTCAAAGAGCTGAGGCCCCAAGAAGTTTCCAAACCCAGGCACAAGGTAGGTAGAACTTTAACGTGGCCCTCTTCTCCCTGGGTAGGGGCACATTACCTTTGTGTCTGCCTACTTTTGATGTTTAAAATGGTGGAGAGGAGATGACAGTAAGGCATGCAGATACCTTGGGAAATTGTTAGCCAAAATCTACGCATGTTCAACCAACCCAGGCAAAATGCCAACATGGAGTTTGGCACCACAGTGAGGACCTGAGAGAGGCCACAGACAGGAGCACACCAGGCTGCTGGAGAAGTACCAACCCGGCAAAAGAGCCAGGCTCTGGCTCCTGACAGCATCCAGTTCTCAGTCTCTCTCCCCTTCCCTC